CTCAAAACCACATTTGCCAAAAACTTGACTATACTGTCAACTATCTTTGCTAAATTCTTTTGCTATTTTGATAGATTAGGTAGCTAGCATTATATCAACAATGAAGTAAATAAGTTTAAAAATGGGATGAGTTAATTGTTTGATATTTATGAGAACTAAATAAATTTGTTCTTGCTGAAATTAGAGGCAGATAAACTCCTTTCACCTCTATTTACCCTTGCAAGAAAGTAATGCAGTTAATTATCTCTATCACATGCACACCAACATACGTTGTACTCTTTCATTTACTGAAGCAATTCAATTATGTGCATAAATAAAAGAGAGACTTCTACTCACAGCTAGAATTTAGACTGGCAATTCTTTATTTTTCATGCAGCCCAGCAATCTCTGTAGCATGGGAGTGCCAGCCTTTCTTCTTTGAGTCAGCACTGTGGGAAGGGTGTTGAAAGCTGTGTCCTGAGGACAGAACTGGGCACAGAGCGTGAGTGAATTACTCATTCCTATGTGCATAAAGATTCCCTTGAAAGACAACAGTGTCTTGAAGCAAACTGCCCTTGGTGCTCCTCTTATGCACTTCACCTTACACAGAGTAATGACATGAAAGCCACTATCTAATCCTAATTACATAGGCTGAGTCACGGCAACTGCACAATCCTATCCACAGCTTTCTTGTTTTCCCTTCCTGTTCTCCCTGCTTGTGTCTTTCTTGAAGTGTCTAACAAGGACCTCTGGACAAAGTCTGCCTGCTCTGTATTATTTCATTATCTAGTGCAATGTGTTTGGGAGGCTACTAGTAAACTAAAGGGAGAACATTAATTATAGAGGAAGCAGTTTTCACTTAAAAAATCTGGCAAAAGAAGATGCCACTGCCAAAATAACTGCCTTAGACTTCAAGGTGTGTGGTCTGGGATAGGACCACGTCAAATAATTAGCAGCTGCATTGGAAAGAATGTTAGCATTGGCTAAAAAACAGGTAAGGGATTAATAGACACCTGCAAAGTTCTCTGGTGATTTGTATAAGCCTTTATGTTTTGTGTTTCTTTTCCTCTGAAACATTTAGACTGTCCAGAATAAAATTCTTATCACTACATCTTTCTTCTTGAACAGGAAGGAGATATCAACAGGAAAAGCATTTGTTTAATCTAAGGGTTAAGCAGGAATTACATCACACCTTTTCAACTCTGGTGGTCTCTCATTCCTATGAAAGGATAACAGAACCTTGAGCTGGCTGCATTGAAAATGACTAAGTCTCCAAATCTGGATTTCCAGAATGCAGTTTAAGAAAGGACAATCTTTTTAGATATCACCTGTCAGAGGGGACAAGAAAGCCAGCCTAAAAACCAAGACTGGAAAAAGTAGAAGGCCCAGGAAGGCCATAAAGAAACATTCACAGGAGAGGCGAGAAAGGTCAGGCAAGGAACTGGTCAGACTCAGTAAGCCTGAAAGCTGCTGGACCTAAGATTTGGGACCAGAAAAGCTACTCGATGGATATTCTTGGTGGAAGGACAGATGGAACAGATGGATTCATTTATTCATCTAAACAGATAATGAATCTTTAATGATGATTCCTCAGTCCAAGAATCTTGCAAAAAGTAAGATGACTGCAGTGCAGCTAGACAAAAATTTAGGTAATCAGGTTCAAAACTGCACTTCTATAAATCCTCCTCTGTTGGTCTCTTGTTGCTGTTGTCCCTCTTGTAACTGTTTGCCTCTTTACACGTACACAGGAACCTCAAGTTTGTCATGGCAGAGGAGCTTGTTGTCCAGCTCATGCCCACTGATATATACAACTGGTTTGGATTTTTGAATGCACGAGTGTGCCTAAGCCTCCTGAGATCCTGGTCCAGAGATATTCTAGAACAAAGTTCTGTACAGACCAGTGCCCAAAGGTGTTTACCATAGACAGTAACGTACATGAGAGCTGCAGTTTCTAACCAAAGCTGCCCAGAAATTCAACCCAAACAGAGACAGAAATGGACACTTCTTGACAGAGATACTGCACCCACTGATGACAAATTGTTTGGAAATGCCTAAATTTTGGAGAGATTACAAGATTTAAGAACATTAAGAACACTAATTTTGACCCTGATATCTCTAACAACAAATGAAGAATGGATTTTGAAGGCATTTGGTGTCATGAGTACTGTGCCTCTGGATCCAGGAGGAACTGCCTCCTAGCAGAATCTTAGGCTGTTTTGTTAAAAGTGCTGTATTATTGACACAATGCTAATCAACTTCTTTCGGTGATCTCAAGAAATGTAGCATTCAACAGACTGGTTAATTTGCAATCAAGATATGGATAAACCAAACCACCTAGTAACTGACTAATATGTAAACAAGTAGTATTTTTTAAGTCTTTGTTACCTCAGGTTTCCTGCCATACTCTCCAGCTGCTACTTAAAAATTTCTGCTTGTATTACTACCAAATTGCATATTTTAAAAAGTCATCATGCAAAAGCTGGCTGATTAAAAGCAAGTTACTCATCAAACACATTACAGCTTTCATGAGTATCTATCTCATAGCTGCCGGAAGAGTTATTTTGCTATAGTGGCATTTTCATTATATCTTTGATTTTAGCTTGTTTCTCCAAGGATTAGTTGTCTTATAAGTATATCCATCATGCTTTTGATTTTGCCAACCAATTTTCTTGAGGGAGGAAATCTGGCCTGAAAACAGTGCTAAAGATCAACTTGTCCCTTTAAAACTCATATTTAATTTTTAAGCTTTTGCTACATGGAGTTGAATTCTTACTGATCAAAGACCTTCTCTTTTGTACCTAATTTTCCAGAGCAATTAATTATCTCTAATACACTGCTATTTAACTTTTTTTGTTATTTCTTTTCCACCTATCTGTGATTATGAAAACCTTTCATGTTTCTGGAAGAAAGAATATTGCAGTGTTGTTTTGTGAAGTAAACATTCAGAGCTTCCATGCTTATTCTTTGGGATGAAATAGAGCTCACAGATCTCTGTGCCATCCCTGATATATGAGTTACGGAAGATTCAATCCAGTCTGGGGACTTCAGAAGGCTTTTGAAACCCCAGGTACAACTGACACTTCCCTTTTCCATGAGGATTCACTATCAGTGAATTGTGTGAACAGAAAATTGTCTTACTACAGCTCTAGAATAACTTCTTCTTAGCATCAGTAACATTTATAGCATCTATAAAATTAAACTCATATCAACTCATGTTGTCAAGCTTTTGTTTTGAACAAAAATGCAACATTATTTCCAGAGAAAGATGGCACAGTGCTGTCAATATGGTATCAAACATTGAAATATGTACTGTGTTCATTATCAATGTTATCAAGATTCAAGATTGTATAAGTGATCACAATAAATTAAAATAATACTCGCCATTTAGCTGGTTATAAAAATCTTTGAGCAACACTTAAGAGACTTATCTACAAACAAGCCTAATCTTTAGGACAGGCTGTTTGAAGTGAGCTAGGGTTACAACTTAAATAACATTGTTCCACCTTCCCTTTTAACTTTAAAAAAAAAAATCAGTAAACATAACCCTATTTTAAGAATCTGTGAGGGACTATATTCAGCTGGGAAGTAGCATTGTGTACCGCTGATACAATCAGCCAACTGTAATCTAAAACATCTCTCTTCCCAGAAACAGGCCTAGACACAACAAACCTCCTGATAACAACAGGGGAATTATTTTCTCTCCCATATACTTTCCTTTACAGATTTTAAGGAAAATCAGTCATCATCCAATATTTCTGTAGAAACTAGAAATACATTGTCATGCAGGGAATCCATCTTTTCTCTTAAAACATCACTGGGTACAAGTGCTGCAACATTCAGTTTTGCAAGCATGCCAACAAGAAGCTAAAAAGACAGGTTTGCCACTACCACAGGGCTGCTTGCAATTTTGATCCCTGACAGACGTAGTTCAAGGAAGACAAAGACACAAAACCAGCTCATTAATCTGATTTTTTAATTTTTGTAGAAGAAAAAAAGAAAGTGTCTTGATTCTTTGTATATTGGGTCTCCGTTATGATGGTAAACCAGTTTCTCAATCCTTTTCCAGTTCCAACAAAGTGACAGTGCTAGAATAGCATAGGTTTTTGCACTCAAGAGGGGCCAACAACAAATAACATGCAAAACTGTTGTTTCCTTTCAACACTGAATGAGGAGTTCTCAGTCACTCAGTCTTCTCTTGTCACAGAGATCATTGTCACTACAGATACTACTGGGAGAGTAATACATTAATATGTAGCTCTAGAAAGGGTGAAGTATACTCTGTCCATTCAACTCAGTCCAAACAAAGGCAGTGGTGTCAGAAAGATCAAAAGTCCTTTTGAACTTCTGGTGTCAATAATTTCTCATTATATTGGTCATATGTACCCTCTGACGACTTAACCAAAGGAATACGGAACAAAAACAATGCTCACCTTCTACTCATTCAGTGGCAGACTTGTTATCACAAGATGTATTTATCATCTCCAGGGCACTGGTTATGTCTTCTCATTGACCATGGCTGTCATCCCAGATCATAATGAATTGGAAGTATATCCAATGAACATAAAGTAACAAATGCAAAACTATTGGAAGAAATGAGATAGCTGGCCATTGTTTTCAGTAATAATGTTATATACTTTGATAAAGATCCATCAAGTATGAAATGCAACAGCCAGTTTTCTTTGCAGGAAAAATCATTGTGGTTAATTTACACTGATTTATTATTTATTTTCTGTTGGCTATTTTCTATTTACTGCCTTTTGAAAATAATTGTTGTGTAACATAGTGTTTCCAGTTGTTTCATGAAATTAGTATTTGGAAATAGACCTTGACAGAGATGTTTTTCAGCTGCAGTGTGCTTAATCAATAAAATAGAGGTATGCTTAAAAGAAATGAAGGCAGAACTTCCACAGCAACTGGACATGTATTAGATTACCCATTTCTGAAACAAAAATTACTCAGGTTTTCTCATACAAATAAATGTAAAATTATTTATTTAACTTTTCCTTATAATGACTTTTCAGGTTCAAAACCAGAATGCAGACAAGCATAAAGAATATGATAAGCATAGACTGAAACAGTGAAGCTGGTCCTTAATCATCCCATGAAAAACAGAAGAGACTGAGATGGTCGTCTACATTTTTAATACTTTAGAGGTATCACTGTCTATCTGTTCTTACATAAAGCAGAAAAACCCTAAACCAACAAACAAAATATTACTAGTCATTAAAATTAATTAAAACCATTCAGATCAGGTCTGCCATAGAATGCAACAACTTCAGTTAGACTTGGCTAGACAGAAATTGGAAGAATTGTTTAGTCTTTTTTGCAGAAACTTCTGTGTCTTCTTGCTGTTTTTTTCCTTCTTTTTTTTTTTGTTATTGTTTTGGATTTTTTGTTTGCATGTGCACACAGTCAACCTATGTCTGTAAAAAATTTAATAATTACTGCCTAAAAAGGTAACAAAGAATCCTAATTCAAAGTCAGATCTTCTTTTCTTCACTGAAACAAAGTTACCAAGCATCAGAATGATTCAATCATACCTGTTTGCTCTTTCTTGCTGTTATAATAAGTGTTTAACTCATAAAACATTTTTAAACAATAAAGTTCCAGCATCAAGAAAAAGTGGATGCTCTTCTCTAGTTTGATTTTTCCAAATGGATCCCCAAATGCAGATAGCCTGCTCCTCAGAAGAAAATGATGCTCAGTGTCCCACAACAGCGAAATAAACAAAATTCTTCTGTCTAAAGACTGTATCCTAAATCTCTTCCATTCACAAGTTCCTCATAATCTTTTTACAGTGTCACTGAGACCGTTTTATCTGGAATGCATTTTTCTTGTGACATAGAACTCGTTCTGGATTTAAATCTAGCAGATGAATCCACAGGATGCTATGCTGTTGGTGTGCTTCATTTACATGGGAAGTGCTGTTTCAGAGCCAGATACAGGCATGTGAAGAAAAATAGATAATTTGCATGGAAAACCTGAATGTTCAGGGCCTTGTTGCATTGTCTGTGCCAGGGCTCTGGATGTGTAGCGTTGATGCTTCATTCCCTGTGGTGACTACCAGCCCCTCTTCTGCAAGCCAAGGCAACCAAATAGTGCCTGGCTTTCACTACCCCCAGTCTGTGTCTTGGACAGAGCCCCACTCTGCTCCACGCTGATTTGGAGAAATTCAGTTTTACTTACCCTTATTTGTCTTAATTTAACCCAAAATTTATGTACAAGAGCATAGGGGATTTAGGAGGATGTATCGGCTCTCAACTAAACTGAGTTAGAATGAAGTACTGTGAAACTGCTTACCTTTAACTGCTTTGAGGTGGCATCACTTTCACCTGCAGAAAACCTTGGGGTCTCTAAACTACAGAAAAAAATCTGGGAAGAAGTATCTTTAGCTATTAAGTAATAGCTCTCAAACTACTTTGTAAGTAAAATAAAGCGAAAATGAAAAAGAAAATACTGTTGCAAATGGTAGTACTCCAGAAAGAGAATGCTTCTTCTTACTGTCTCTTGTGATTTTAAACATTAGTCTTACAATACATTATATTTTCCTTATGGAGTTGCTGAGGTCAGTGTAACATCTTTTTATAAGCCACTTCTTAAGGAAGTAGCAAAAGAAGGTGCATGAATGAAGTATATGCATGAGGTTTAGGAACTGTCAGTTAAAAGCATCATAACCTGAAAAAAAAAATCACTCTGTAGAATAGGGTTTTGTTTGCTCAGGGAATCCAAGACTTCAGTGTATAAGACAAAACTGAGATAGAGCATTTGTTTCAAATTGAAATCACTGCTATCTGTGTTTAGGGAACAACTTAGAAGGTGACAACTAGAGAGAATAATGGAAAACACTTTTACTTTGAGTTCTTTTCACCAAAGTAAGATCCAAAGGCAGATTATCTTGCCAGACTTCCTGTGCATTATTTCATTCACACAGGAAGTGCAGTCACATGTCAAAACAGTTTTACCACTGAAACATAGAGAAATCTTATTTCAGTTTATATTTTCTTATTACTTCCATGAGATATTTAGTGAGTGCTTCTGGGGCACAGTCGTTCTGCGGATATTCCCAGTTGATATAAGGGTAATGACACCTTAAGTGCCACTATTTTTCTAAGTAAGGATATTGCTTCCTTTAATAGCAAAAGGCACACCAATTTGTTTGTCAGGGACTGTGTAACATTAGTATTTTGCCTTGTAATCAAAGCATCAGAGTGATTGTGAGCCAAATTATTGTGCGTTTTTTTATTTTAAAAAAAGTTAGTAAATTGCTGTAGTCATAAGCAGAAGCTAAAAAGTAATAACAGTATTTCTCATTACAGTTGTATCAAAGACCACAAAAAGTCCCCCAGCCTCTAAAGGAAACCCTTTAGTGCAGTGTTTGTAAAGGAGTGGGCTCTATCTTTGTGATGTCTGCTGCTTTTCAGGAAGATGTCACTTTTTTCCCCCCCTTTGTGCAGCCCGAACAACGAGACATAGTGTAAAAGATTAAATCAGTTAATTCTTTATGCACTACTTACTGTACCTTACTTTAAAACATTCATGCTTGAATAAACAATATCCTAGTATGTTTTTCAAAAATAAGCACTGAAGTGTGTGCACTTTGCATGTGTTCCAGTTCAGAGACATGCTTCCTTTTCACATTAGCACATACTTAAAAATGAAAAGAATATTCTATTGTCTTATTGAACCAGATGTTGGTATAACTCTTTACAGTTTCATGAACAACATTCAGGATTTTGCTAAAAAGGCTCTAATTATTCCATCTGCCTTTACACTTATATAACCTTCATTTGTAATTAAAGTCTATTTCTGTCCTAATTGTAAACTTGATTTTCTTTACTGGTGATATCAATGCAAATGCCATTTTATGCACTCATAGCCACATGGTGTTAGAACTATATGTACATACATGACTAATCACTCATAGCTACAAATCAGAAGAAGTTTGATACGATATTTTTTTGTCTTATAACTTCAAGACAACCTTATGAAAACCTCTCTCTGAATTCATATTCTATATTCAGATAGTACATTTCAATTTCTGGCTTCAAAATTTCATTGAACACCATATTAATGTGGCTTTGATGTAAATTCAGCAAAAAATAGTTCATGGTGAGAAGAAAAGTATGCCTTGTATATTGAGATGTATTTTCCGTGTCCCTTCAAAAACATAGTATAATTTTAAAAAACTGTCCAGAATGCAGATTAGTCGGTTAACTAGACTTATCCAAAAGTTTAATCATTTCAGCTCATCTGTCATTTGACAAGATTACATTTAGGATGGCTGACACCAGAACACAGAATGTCACTTAAACAGTGCCAGAGTTGAATAAAATGGGCTTAATGTCATTAAGTACCTTGATAGATTGAGTCAAGTATCTCATAAGAGTTATAGTAATTCATGTGATGGGACAAGAGGTATTTTGAAAGAACATAGGACTGTCAAACTTTCCTGCTATCATGCACAACAGCACAGCAATAGATGATTCTTCAACTTGTCCTTTGCTCCATGGTAAAGTTTGACATATGTTTGTTCTTTTTACATTTGCAATGATTATTCCTGTAGAGGGAGTTGGTGCAAGAACATAATTTTCCAAAATTCTCATGATTACTTTAGAGTAACTACGGTTGTTCAGTTAGTCTGTATGACAGCACAGGCATCATTTAGAATGACAAAAGGATCAGAGAGCAGCAGACTTTCCCATGGGCACAGTGGGAAAGGAAATCCTTTTGTATTTTTCCCTTATCAGCTATATAATGTTACCATTTATTGATCTTCCTTCAAGATTTCTCCATCATCCCCTGCGTAATTTAGATGGTTGTTCCACCCTGCTTTTGGTCACATTGGCACTCAGTAGGCAAAGACACTGATGTTATAGAAGAGCATTGGCCTTCAGCCTGCCAAACACAAGCCCAGCAGCCACCCTACCACTTCTAAGGGTGCCATTACACTGCGGCCAGGTGGTCTTTTTTTTTACTGATAAAATTTCAGGTGTTATTAGAGGGTAAATGGGGTTTTCTAAAATGTAGAGGAGGGCATGTATCAAAATGGGAACTGTGTTAGGTGAAGCTAAGTAAAAACTTTGCCTCTCTAAAGAGATAATGGAAAATCTCTGCCCCATCCTGATACCTGCATACATGTGAATCTGGCTTTGTATTCAAGAGAGATCTACAGGACTTTTAACTTGTTTCCCTTGTGGTTCCTGTGTTTCTTGTGACAAGAAGAATACAGAAATGATCACTGATGCATCTAGTGATACACAGCAGCTAGAAAAGGCCATTCTCTGGAGGCAATTTTCATCTCAACCATGTTATTAATGCTCACCACTGTTGAGTAAACCTCAAAACTGACCGCTTGTAGACCTCCACCATTGTTAGCATTAGCAGTTGACTTTAAAACAGCAAAGTGGGCATGTACTTATTCGAGTTTCTTAGTTTTGGAAAGCAGTAACAAACTGTGCCTGAAGGAATTACTTCCCTTGTTTGTTCATCTTAGCACTTAAGGGCCAGGGTGAGCTTTTAATATTTAAGTTTTTCAGCTACTGTTCACAGAGTCAGATTTTAGAGAGTATAATCTTCTCCTCACTCTGTCTCCAAAGAACTAGTTATATTAGTTATATTAATAGACATCCTTCTGAATCGAGGATGCAGTTGTTCTGTGTCACTGGCGACCAACCTTACAAGCCATATCACAACACTTCTTGTCCTGTGGACAACCACTGTGCCTGAGTGGGCAGCAGCTGGGTAGTTCATGTGTGGGAGTCCAGGTCAGGTCCACTCTGGACTACAGTCATACATTCAGACAAAGCTGATAGGTTGCCCTTTTAAAGAAAAGGTTGACTGATGTAACCAATGACTAATGCAACCGGCTCTGGATTCCATAGTGAGATGATGTGGGCAGCACCTGTAAAACAAGAAGTCATCCATGTTTCTTGTGTCATGACTTCAGATGAAAAAAACCACCTTCCTCCAAAATTTTCTTGATTGATATTGATCACTGAAGACATCTTGAGATCATTGATGAAGAGGCTAATGATTTCCCACTTACTTCTAAACAACATCCGTTTGCTCAGGCTGCCAGAACACCCATGAGCCATGTGAAATAGCTCTGAGATGATACAGGTATCAGCCTACAACTCCTGCAAGGAGTGACTGAATGTGCCAGGATTATGACTGTTGTATGTGGCTGAATGGCACATAAAGGAGTAATTCCGAAAATCTGGTGACTCATGGGGGCTGTAGTGCGAGCATCCTTTTCAGGCTGTGTTGCTGAAACATTTTCTTCTGTTGCAAAGTTGTGTGCTGGTATGCGCTTTTTGGTCCCTTCTTGCATCAGAGCATGACCTGTGACTCAGCTCTGGAAGATCTATTTTTAAAGAAAAACTGAAAGAGATCTAGCAGCAAACTCTATACAAATGAAAAAGTTTTCATTTCAAGTAGCCCAGTTCTGCACATCCAAGGAAAAAGATTTAGAAGATGTAGACATGAACCCCTGCCTTATCCAATCTTACAAAGGCTTCCAGAGAAAACAAAAAGTAAACAGCATGTGTCTATTTCATAAACAAAACAAATAAGTTTGGAAAGTCCTCTGGCTACTCTAACACATT